AGCGCTCGCTCTCGGCTGCTTCTCCAGGGACCCGGCGGGGCGGCTGCGAGCCCTCGTGTCCCGTCCCCATCTCCTCTGGTTCCTCGCCCCAACTCCCCGGGCTCCGTCCGTGCCCCCGCGGCTCCGGAGCGGGTGGGGAGGCGGCCCCAGGGCTCGTCCCTCTGTCCTGGCGGAGTCTCCGGTCCCTGCAGCGGCWGCATCCGTGCCCGGGTGCGATCGAGCCCTCCCGGTGCGAGCGGCTCCTGCTCGACGGCTCCTGCAGCGAGGGGTCGGGGGCAGCGAGGGGGCTCCGCCCGGGGCAGCTCCGGAGCCTCAGGCACCATCCCCCCGAAACTCTGCGGGATGGAGGCGAGCGAGTGCGGGGATCAGCGAGTGGCAGCTATTTGGTGTTCTCCAGCTCTTTGTGCACAGATGAAGAGCTGTATCAGCCTTCTCCCGGCAGGTTAATAGTTTCATTAAGGCARTCATTTGGAATTAGTAGGAGCGAGTTGCTGGGCGCTGCCGCCCCGTCTGTCTGTCCTGTGGGTCGGGACAGACGTTGCAGCTGAGCTCGGGGAGCTCCTGTGCAGAGCAGGTAAGAGGAAATGGTGCTGCAGCCTCAGCTGGTGGGACCCTGGGCATCGCATCCAGCCCTCCTGGAACGGGGGGTCCTCCTGCACCCCCGGGCAGCTCAGACACACATCTGTGAGAGAGGAGAGGGTGCTGGGGCTGCCCATGGGTGCGGTGGTGCTGTGGGGTCAGTGTGAGGAGATGCCTCTGGCAGTTGTGATGTCCCCAGTGTCGGGTCTCTGTCACTTTGGGTTTTTCCCCTGCTGATTCCTGGGTCGCTGCTGTGGCTGTCGCTCTGCTGGCACAGACGGGGCACAGGAGCTGTGTCGGTGCAGTGGCATCCCGAGTGCTTCCTGGAAAGTCTGTCTGGCTGTGTGGCTGCACACGAGGCCTCTGAGCTGCCCCTGGCCACACTGGGGACTCTGCACCTCCTGCCTGTCCCTGGGAAGCACTTCCCTTTATCTCAGGGGGCAGCCAAGGGAGTGGTTTTGCTGTAAATCTTCTTCTATAGCCCAATTGCTTGCCGTGTCATTCACTGATTCAGGAAAGGGTTGTCATTTTTGGTGGAATGTTGTGACTGAAAAAGCTGGAAAGTAAGTTGCTTCAGAGGTAGGAAAGAGTCCTGGAAGACTCTGATGTGCTTCACTAGAAAGGTTGGTTCTGAAATAGTGGAAAACTGTATTTTCTGGTCCTTCTGGATTTCCTGAATAGGGTGGCCCACACGATGGCACAGCTGGAGATGCTGCTTTATCCTTTTCCTATGGAAAAGTGCAGCTCTTGGTGGCTGCAGAGAGACAGAGCAGTGGTGTCTGTGGGCAGTGGGATGTGAGGGGAGAGGAACCTGGCTGTTGGTGCAGAGCATGGGGCAATCCCCATCTCCTTTTGTGCATATCAAGTGCAGCCTGAGGTCAGTGTGCACACGAGGGCTGAGCTGGTTTGTGGTTCCCAGATGAGGCTCTGGTTMATGAAGGATGGTGGTGGTGGAACAYAGGGGGTCMCAAGAGGTGTCYTGTGGGGCTGGGGGCTCATCTCTGTGCTGCCTGTGGCACWCTCTGCTTCTCCCTCATCCCTCCCTAAGCAGAAATCTCTGGACTTTTGTTATCAGCAAAGGAAGAAAGAGTTTATGAYGTTTGCTCTGAACGTGTCAGTATGGTTGAAGGCACCTGGCTTTCTGCGTGCTTCCCCACCACAAAAATAACCCCACAGAAGCAGCGAGATGTGAAGAGCCCGTGGGGCACCATTGCTGGTCTAAAACAGCCTCTCCCCCTGCAGCAGCACGGGTCCCCATGAGCCAAACCCCAATACCCATCTCTGAAATAYTGGCCATGAACTGAGCTTCTGACAGCAGCTTGCCTTGTGTGCTGCCTCCTCTACCTTTGCAGCTGCACCCCAGCTCTTGCACAACCCTCATGTCCCCGGGCCCCACTCACTGCAGCTCAAAAATAGTATTTCCTCCTTTTCTGCATGAGATCTTTTATTTGTGTAGCTCCGTTTGTGGCACCTGCGCGATGGCCCCAGACAAACCACACCGGGCTCACGAACATCCTCCGGGTAACGGCTGCCCTGGGCCGTGGGGAGGGGGCTGTGCCCGGGCACTGGGACCTGTCCTGTCCCCCCAGTGCCCCTGGGTGCTGTTCTGCTCCCCTGGCAGTGACTGTGGTGTTCCCTCAATCCTCAGTGACCCTGGTGTTCCCCCAGTGCCCCTGGGTGCTGTTCCTGCTCCCCTGGCAGTGACCCTGGTGTTCCCTCAGTGACCCTGGTGTTCCCCCAGTGCCCCTGGTGTTCCATCAATCCCCAGTGTCCCTGGTGTTCCCTCAGTGACCCTGGTGTTCCCATCGTGGCACAGGAGACCTGGCTGGGGCAGCCCTGGGGAGGATCCGTGCCCGTGGCAGCCCTGGGGACACGGAATGGCCCTGCTGGGATGGGTCATTGTTTTCCCTGCTGACTCCACATCCTGGCTGCACASATTTTCTGCTGGAGCTGCAGATCGTTCCCCGTTTCCTGGGAGTGTGCTCAGGCTCTCTCCAGTGCGCTGCTTTGGGATTATTTTTTATCACATTTCTCAGGGATCTGGTGTCTCACATCAGCTCCTTTGTGGCTGCTTTGTCCTGTCTCAGGGGTTTGGTGGCTCTGGGGGTTGGGATGATGGGTTGGTGAGTTCTCCTTTATGAATGATGGTGCTGGCATGGCAGCACAGGCTGGGAGGGTTTGGGATGGCCCTGGGTGTGGGATCAGCTCCCGGGGGAGTTGGGGGGCTCTGATCCTGCCCCTSTGCACAGGGTGATGCCAGAAGGAGCCCGGCATGCCGTACCTGGACCGACAGAACCGGATCTGCGGCTTCCTGGACATYGAAGAAAATGAGACCTGTGGCAAATTCCTGCGGAGGTATTTCATCCTGGACACGCAGGCCAACCACCTCCTGTGGTACATGGACAATCCTCAGGT